TACATACACTTTTTATTTGTCAATTATACCTCAGTAAAGCTGGAAAAATATGAGCAATTATTTTTAAATGGGGTATAGATCAAGAGATTGGTTTTGAATCTGGGAAGCAAATCTTTTCACTGAAATCATACAGTAGAAAGAAAGAATGGGTAAGGATGTAGGAATAACTGCAGATTTAGTTACTAATGAAGAGACTCTATATGGAAAGCATAAACTGTGTAATAAACATGTTGAAGTTTAAATATCAAAAATAATCTGTTCATTGATATTTAGTTGAATTATGAATTTAAAATACACATTAGCATCTAAGTTAAACAAATAACTGCCCTACTTCTAAACCTCAGACTTACAATTTAAAATGTAAACTTAAATATTTCTCTCCATTATACTTATGATACCTGACATATTTTATGTCAGTTTCTCCTCATTTTATATGTCTGTTTCTCCTCCTAGACTAGAAGCTCCTCAAGGGCAGGAATTTTTTCTGTGGTATTTATTGTTGTATCCCCAGTACTGCCTGCCATGAATAGGAATGCAAAATAAAATTTTGATTGAATGACATGGTACCTTCTCTTCAGGAAGAAAAGATGCAATCTATTAAATGGAGGAGAAATGAATATATGGAGACTATATCAATATTTACAAATGAAGTAAATACTAAATGTGATGTAAGAAGCAGTATCAAAAAATAGTATGATAGTTCACAAGACTGTTAATTATGCCAAACAAGTTAACAGAAAAAGGTATTATGGAAAAAGTGGCATTTGAACTGGGCCTTAAAGGGATAACTAGACTTTTTTTTAATGTGCACAATTCAATGGTCTTTTTTTTTGTATATTCAAGTGTGCAACCATTGCCTTCTAGAACATTTCCATCGCCTCTAAAAGAAACCTGTGCCCCTAACTACCACCTCCCAACTCCACCACACCAACCCTAAAAAGCCATTAATCTACTTTCTATCTTTACGTATTTGCCCATTCTAGACATTTCATGTAATGAAATAAAATGTGGGGTTTGTTACTGGCTTCCTTATTTAGCATAATGTTTTCAAGGTTCAACCATGTTGTAGCATATATCAGTACTCCATTCTTTTTTATGATTGACTAATATTCCACCATATTTTGTTTAGCCATTGATCAGTAGGGCCATTTGGACTGTTTCAACCTTTTGGTATCATAAATAATAATAATAAATAACAAATAATAATTCCATAAACATTTATATATAAGTTTTTATGTGGTATAATCTTAATAAGAGGTAAGTGAAGGAAGGAATTTAAATATTTTAAATCATTCAATCCCAAAGGTGACAAATTCAAGATAAAGTTTTCATGGGTCCAAGACCAAATGAGGCAAAGTGAATTTTTATAAAGCTTAATTTACTCAGGTCAAAGGACTATCCTTTATTATGTAACATGTCCTTTAAACTTTTAATATAAAAGCATGTTTTTAAATGAAATGATGGCAATATCAGAAGGTAGTTAATTTACTTACACAAAACAAATTTTTACATATTTGCTTTTCTGTTAAATCCAAAAATCTAGGAAATGCTTTGATTGAAAGAAATGGCACAAAGGAAAGAACTTAGGAAACATGATGGCCTGAATGTCAAACTAAGGAGTTTGCATATTATCCTATGGTCAATAAGAAAATTAATAAACTTATTTAAGTATGAAATTTTGACTCCTGAATGACATTTCGTTCAACAAACAGCAACTGAGCTACTACTATATGAAAAAGCACTGAATTTGGTGCTATGAGAACAGACTAAATAAAAGTCTGTCCCTGCTTTTTCATAACTTAGTCTTCAGTGGAAAATAGTCTGTCTATATCCATTATTTACATTTTACCTATCTTTTCAGGCAGTATTTAGTAGTTTTTAAAAACCTCTTTTAAAAAGGAGAATATGAGGCTATTTCTATTGTGCTTACCTGTTTTATTTCATCTGTTATTTGACAATGTGAGTTGCTGGGTACACAAAGTTAAGCAATATATCATCCCTATACTACAAAAGCTTACTGTCTAAACGTTATAAATTTATATATTGCTCCAGAAAAACTGACTGCTGACATTTAATGAGATATTAGTTACCTAGGGCTTTCATTTTAATAGCAAATAACAAACAAGCACTTAGTTCTACCACTCACATTTTAAGCATTTTATATTATTTAACTAATGTAATCCTCCTAACAATCTTATGAAAAGGGAATTATTACTCTATTATTGTAAGATACTACATTAAAATATATTATTTATTTTTTCTCAGAATCAACATTAATGACACCAATTTTGCTAATGAAAGAGTATTTATATGTAGTTGTTGTATCATTATCATCAGCATACAAAAATATACTGGAATTTTCTCCACCTTAAAAAAAACTGTCTCTTGATTTCACATCCCACTTAAGGAACCACACCATTTCTCTGATCTTACAGCAAAACTCCCTAAAAGAGCTTTCTATATGAGCTGTCTCCCAGATTCTTTCCTCTCAGCCTCTCTTGAGACATTCCAAAAAGGCTTTTGCCTCTGACACTACTGAAACCACTCTAGTAGAGATAATGATGCCCTCAAAATGCTAAATACAATTTTTAGTTTTTAGTCCTCATCTTACTGCACCTACCAGCAGCACTTGACTTGGGAAAACACTCTTAGAGATACTTCCTCTACTTGGCTTCTAAGACACCATACTCTTCTGGGTTTTCTTCCTATCTTATTAGATGTTCCTTCTCAATCTCCTATGCTAATTCTTCAATAGCTCCATAATTTCTACATTGTAGAGTACCTAAGCCTCAGTCCTTGGACCTTCTCTCTTTTCTGTCTGTACTCACTTTTTTAATGTTCTTTTATAGTCTCGTGGTTCCACTAGAATGAAGCTTAAACATGGTAGGGATTTTTCTTGGCATGTAGCAGATGCATGACGTATATTTGTTCAATGAATGGATGGATGAATTAATGGCTTTAAAAAATATCTATAAACTGATGACTCTTCCATATATATCTTCTGCCTGGATCTCTGTCCTGAACTCCAGATACATCCAACTGCCTATCTGCTATCTCACTGGATGTGTAATAAAAATCTCAAACTTAACCAAGTTCAAAGAGAACTCAGATCACCTCCTCACACACTGGTTTCTCCAACTGACTTCACTTTCTTAGTAAAGTGCAGCTCTATCCTTTTAGTTCCTCACATCAAAAAGTTTGAAACAGTTCCTAATTCCTTCTCTTTTTCTCACACCACCTATCCAATCTGCCAACACACACAGTAGATTCTGCCTTCAAAATATACCCAGCATCTGACTACTTCTCATAGTCCCCACTATCACTATGGTCCAAGCCATTATCATTTCTCATGTGGACTAATGCAGCAGCCTCCCAACAAGTCTTGCTGCTTATCCATCTACACCTTCCAATTCAGTGTTCTCAGAACCACACCAGACAATTTTTTTTTCAAACTAAAATCAGATCATATCACTTCTCTGCTCAATCCTGTAATTATTCCCACTTTGCTCTGAGTAAAAGCCCAATTTTTGACAACGGTCTATAAAGCTCTACTTAATCTGGCTCCATTACATCTCTAACCTCATCTGTTCCTTTTCCTCTCACTTATTCTGTTCCATTCATACTGGCTTCTTCTGCTGTTTCTTCCAAAGAATAAGCAGATTTCTACCTCAGGGCCTTTTCCCTTCCTGTTTCTTCTGCCTGGAATGCTTTCTAGATACAGAAAGACATCTAGGTATCTGCAATCCATCACCTGCTTCATTATCTTGTTCAGTTGCCATCTTCTCTGACTCCAACTCTAATCCCACCTTGTTGTATTCTTTTTCTTTTTTTATAGTACATTTTTACTTTTTTTTTTATTAAGGTATCATTGATACATAATCTTATGAAGGTTTCACATGAGCAACACTGTGGTTACTACATTCACCCATATTATCAAGTCCCCCCTACATACACCATTGCAGTCACTGTCCATCAATGTAGTAAGATGTTATAGAATCACTACTTGTGATACTTATACTGCCTTCCCTATGCCCCACCCCACATTATATGTACTTATCATAATATCCCTTAATCTTCTTCTCCCTCCCTCCCTCCCCACCTCGTTTCCCTTGCAACCCACCTCCTTGCATTCTTTATCCCCTTTTTCTGCACTGTTTCTCCACAGCATTTATTATGACCTAATACTATATACTTTACTTTCTGGGACATTTGCTTGAAAAGGACAAAAATTTAGTCTGTTTCATCCACTGTTACATCCCTAGTGTTTAAAGCGGTGCCTAAGTACACACTTGGTGTTCAACGATCTGTTTAACAAATGCTTTCATTTCCTAACAAGAAGGCCTAATAATGACCTAGTCTGGTATTTTAGTAAAAGACCACAAAACTCCTCCAAGATTTCTTTCAGTGCTCTGATCCCTAGAAGGATTATACTTTACCTAGAAAGAAAAGCTGTGCTTTGTCAAGTCAGCCACAAGGAGGGGTTGAGAGGAAGAGCTGAGCAAAGAGAAACCAGTTATCGTTGTTTCCCTTGCTTTTCCTACGGTGACCTCAAGGTGGAAGAGAAGTGGATTTGGAAGCGACTGTACTGAAGGGTTTTCTCCATACTATGAGTTACTTAAACACACCCAAACGTAAACATTAAAAGACGCAATCCTTTCGAATACCACAAAGAAGCCAAGGAAAACAATTCACGGGCCACTGAAACTGGGAGAGGGTGTTTCTTTAACTCTACTACTAAGAATTCTCCATATAAATCCAGGGGAAGAGTTCCCTTTAGCGAAGAGAAGCGTAGCTCACGATGAAGGCCCAGGTGTTCGAGGCTGCCAGCGCTCTCTGGCTAGAGAACTATTAAGTCCATTCTATTTAATACTTAAAGCATCTACAATCCTTAAAACAGCAGAAGCAATGCGGGCCCGGGTCTAAAATCTCAGATTTAGCCGATCAAGTGTAAGCCGATTCATTAACCACTGAAATCAATTTTCCACGGGATTTTGACTCACCGCCACCTGTTGATGCCCACGTTGGAGGAGCCGGCGAACCAGGGGTCGAGGATGTAGACGCAGCGGATGGTGTCGGCGCCCTGGATGCACTCCTTCAGGGCGGGGTTGTCGTGCAGCCGCAGCCCCTTTCGGAACCAGTGCACGGCGTTCACCCCCATCCCCGGGGCGAGGCGGGCGGCGGTCACAGCCCAGTTCCTCCACGGAGAAACTCAAAGAAGGAAGGCTCGGCTCATAACCGACACCTCCGCTTCCACGAGAACCGCCACACCCAAGGAGTGAGGAAAGGGCAGCGGAGGGAGGAAAAAGGAAAAAGGAAAAATGAGTCCTAGGAGAGAACCAGAGAGGGCGCTGGAAGATGAATGGAGGTTGCCCACTCGGCGGAGTCCGGCTGTGACGGACGCCCTTTAGGGGCCGGCGCCCGCCGCAACCACCGGGACGAGGCGCATAACTTCGAGATCCTCGGGCGCCCGAAGGGTGAGCAAGTTCCAGGCTCCCGAGTCGCCACGACAGCCCGAACCCGTACTGGCAGCCCCAGGAGATTCGTCACGGAAAGCTGGCCCCACCAAGGCGGCCCCGAAGGAGAAAACTGCCTGCCCGAGGCGAACCACCGAGAGGGATGCGAGAGGATTCAGCCACTGTCGCCCACGCTGCGTCTCGGCCCGGGAAAGAGGAAGGAGGACGGAGCCCGGAGCTTGAGGCGGTGGTCGAGGCCGCTGGACCGTTGCCGGCTGGTGACCGGTCCCGAGGCTGCCCTGGTGACTCCTCTGCTACCGCCGCGTCAGCGGATTCGGCCCCGCCCCCAGCTCCTCATTGGAGGATGCACGCCTCCACGTGACCCCCGGCACCTCACGTTTCTGAAGTGTGTTTACTACAGCGGCTCTGACTGGGGAATCTCCTCGCGATACAGTCGCTTCTAGGGGGCGATAGCTGCCTGATCTCAAAACCGTGGATCCTCGGCCAGACGCTGGGCTCCCTGTCTCTGCCCTTTTCCCCGGCTGACTGCGATCGTCTGGAAAGGCCAGCGGTGACCACAGTCCCCATGTGAGGGAAGACTCAGCTCCGCCCCTGGGGGCCGTGAGTGTCCACCATTGGCTGAGGCCTGCCGAGACCCGGATGAGCACGGGGCTGCGAGGAGCTCGCGGGCGCGCGCTCGGCTAGGGAAGGCGCGCTTGCGCTCTCGGCGTTCTGGAGGGAAGGAAGGCGGGGCCGGTTTGCGGGGGCGCGCGCGGGGAGTCCTTCCTTGGGGTTCCTGGAAGGCCTAGACACAGCCTGACGTCCTCCGAGAGTGGGCGCGGTAGCCGGTTTGGGAGGGAAGGTAGGAGCCAGTACGAGGAGAAGAGTAGGAGGGTCCATTAGCCGTCGAGCCCACCGCCATGTGCTTAAATCCAGCTTGGGCCAGAGAAACCTTTGGGGTATGTGGCCGGGGCGCCGCTACCATGTTTTGGCCTTCGCGGCAGCGAGCGCCCTCGGACACGCTCTGGGGAAGAGGGGCGATTGGCAAGCGGGTGCCAGGTATACCGGAAATTCTTTAACGCTATGAATCGTCATGTCAGCCCTAATTTCTTACACTTAGTGTGGTTTACAAGGGCTCTTAAGGATCTAGCGACTGAACTTCAAGCCCTGCCACTCTTTAGACATGTGATGCCCTTACGTTTGTTAAACAATTACTTAATGAGTCAGGCACTGTTCAAAAGTGCTGGAGATACAGGAAAGAAATCGACAAAGTCTCAGCCCTGCTGGAGTTTACCATCTGTCTCAACCTTTACACATGATGTTTTTTCTTATATAAAATGCTTTTTAGAGTCTGCTGCTCATTACACCCACCTTTGAACTGCCTAGTATATTTCTACAAATCTCTTTTGACTCAGATGAAGTGCTATCTAATTTGTGAAAATATTCCTGTCCTCTAGAGCAAATTTAGAACCTCCCCACCTCTCCAGGCATGACTGATAACATCACTTCGTGCACTATTCTGGAGATTAAATGAAAGTGCCTACCATAAAATAGGTGATAGGTGTTAAATAATAGTATGCATTCAAATGTTTATTGAAGAAAAAAGTGATAAATAAATGCTGTTTGCTACCAGTGTGTTTGACAAGGTTAAAAGGAGAAAGGAGGTAGCAATTTTTACAGGTTGAACTGTGTCCCTCTAAAATTCACATAATCCCTAGTACCTGTGAATGTGACCTTATTTAGAAATATGGTCTTTGCAGATGATTAAGTGAAGATGAGGCCCTCATCCGGCATGACTAGTGTCTTTATCAAAAGAGGAAATTTGTACACAGAGACAGACCCACACAAAGGCAGAATGAATGCCATGTAAAGACTGGAGTTACAATGCCACAAGCCAAGAAACTACTTGCATCTAGGAGAGCAGCCTGGAACATCATTTCCTAGAGCCTTCAGAGGGAACTTTTGATTTCAACTTCTTTTGAAATCAAACTTTTGACAACACTTTTGATTTCAGACTTCTGGCCTCCAGAACTGTGAGACAAAAAATTCCTGTGTTTGAAGCCACTCATTCTGTGGTACTTAGCTACAGAAGCTGTAGCTAACTAATGCAGCAATAATATAAATTCAGTCATCTGGTGCTTGACTGTGTCTGGATAGTCGACCCTAGCCCTGCTTCTATTGCTGTTGGGAAGGCATAACATCCTTTCTTTGTTTTTTTAAGAACATTTAGAATTACGTATATGATAACCCTTTGCTCACTATAAAGTGTTAAGCACATACTTATTATTTTTATCAGAGGAGATGAGCCTTGGGTAATTGCCACTCCGACCATTCTGTCACCTGTGCAGAGGATGTGAAATACAGAATTACACCCTTACTTGGACTGCTTCATTCTGCAGAGCCTAATGTGCTTTTACAAATACAGTGTTCCATGTTTCATTTTAGGCAGTTTGAAAGTAAGCAGATCACATCTAAAAACATAAGAATTGTTCTTAAGCATCCAAATGAAACAGTAGGAGATAAAGAGAATATTGATTTGTGTTGAGTTGACTTATGTTTGTCAACTGTTCATTCAATAAAGAGGTTTTTTTTAACAGACAGCTGTATGTGGGTGTGTATGATTTTAATTTACACATAAAAGTACTAATTATGAAAGCACCAGGACTGTTGACTGTGCATTCCTCAAAGACTGAAGGCTTTATGTGGCATATAGATGCATATATCTTTGTTATGGAGGAGGAGTAACCATTTAATAATAGCTACGAATTACTGAGCACCTACTATGTGCTAGGCAGTTTATATAGGTTATTAAGCCTCATAATAATCTTTTGAGGCAACATATTATTTAATAATAAGTTATGCCCACTTTGCTGAGAAAGATGTTAAAGCTCAGAAATACAAATAAATAGTAAAACTAGATGAAAACCAAGACTTTCTGAATCCAAGCTCTTTCCTTATCATACACTATCCCTCACTGACACCGCCATGCCTTTTCTTTTTCAGAGTATGAAGGGGGAGAAAAGGGATGGGAAGCATTGTCAGAAATGTCTTGTGGATTTTTTGGCTGACTCCAGTATCACGGTGGTAGAGAGAGTATGAGACTAGGAGGGAGATTGGGTAACATGCCAACTTGCCATTAATTCATTGATGATCTTGAACAAGTCACCTAGGCTTTCTTGGCCTGATTAATTCATCTATAAAATGAGTGGATTGAACTAGATGACGGAAGTTTTCTATTCTATTTGATTATTCTGTGGTTCTATGAACTAGAATTCTATGACTTCTATCCTGACTCCGGCTCAAAACTATCTATGAAGAGTCCTGTTAAACATTCTTGTAACTGCCAACAGTGTTAGAAAAATCAATATATCTCTTCGATTTCATGAGCACCCTTGATAAAAATGTGTCAGCCTCTGAATCAAAAGCCTGTGTTCTCATTTGACCCCATCTTGCAGAGGTGATTTTTGGCATGTGTTATCAACAGGCAAATAATGAAGTAGACAGTGTGATCAGCATGTTCAGTCTTGATGTGATGTGAATGTTAGGCTGGTAGCCCTTGGCTGAGTGACTCTCAGCACTACAGTCTTGGAGATTTAATTTAAATGTGTTAAAGGATCATTATCTTTTTAAAAAGGTAAATCATGACTCATTTGAATATAAAATGAACACATGTCAAAGATTTCACTTAACTTGTTAATTTATGAGGGAACCACTGAGATGTTACAATAGAATAAAGGAGATTCCAAAGAGCAGTTACATACATAGGCCATCAGGAATATTAGAAATGAATATGCTTAATATATACAAAACTGGCTTCTACAGAGGGGTGGAGGGAGGGAAATCAATTGCATGTTCACTGAACAAAATTCATTTTCAGGTCCATGGATGAGATTCATTTGCATGACTCAGTTATCTACAATTTACAGAGTTGTTAAACAGTTCAAGGATAACGGCAGGCAGAAAATAACTGGGAAGGTGTACTAGACCAGAAGCCCAGTCATCTTTTTTGCCCATTTCAAAGTCATCAAAATTTTTGTTACTTCTTCCTCAGAAAGGTCTTCTTGTTTGCACTTTCCAAAAAGGGCCCCTTCTTAGTCTCTATGTACTGTAATTCCTCTTTCATCAGAGCACTATTTAAAATCTGTATTTTTTTGGTCGTTTACTTATTTATTATCAGTCAATCTATGCCTGCCCCTACCTCAAATGCAAGCTCCAGGAGGGCCAAGACTTTTGTCTATCATGCTCCTCATTACATCATTGGCACCAGCTGCAGTGCCTGGTACTCAACAGCTTCTCGATATTTTTCGAGAGACCATGGTAATGCCCAAATGATCACATGAACACTGTACTTCATCTCGTGTCACTTATCAACTTACTGTCTCTCAGCTCCAAATTCACCTCTCACGCCTCTGCCTTTAGAACTGAACAGGGTAAGGATTCCTCCTGTGTTACGGGCACCATATTAAATATTGTCAGTAGAGGGCGCTAGAAGGAAACTGCGGGAAACGGGCTTCTCTTTTGGCTTTGGTATGAAAACAGGCATTTTTTTTTTTTCCTTGCATCCATTCCACTGCTGCCAGAGGGGCTCTGGGGAACGGTATGTGTGGAAATCACTTTTATCACGTTTCAGTGACATCCCTGCTGATGGATTTCCAGTGAGTCTCGCAGGCATCCTAGCTGGCAGCCACCCTACCTCAATCCACCTGTATTCTGGCCTGGTGTTTCCTGTGGCCACTCTCAACTATGGCTGTATTCCCACCAGCCTTGGCCTAGCAATGGTAGACCAGCTGTGGTCCAGGGCAATGCAGTCAACTTTTTCCCCGTCCAGTAGCTATAACCACACCTTCTCCAATGAGGTCTGAATGGCACCTTTGAGGAAGACCCTGGCACTCACTTTCCTTGGGTACTCTCCCTCAGTCCTGGGATATTTTTTGTAGTTCCCTTTCCCCCTTTATAGTTAATCCCCTGTTATAATAAATAATTCTCTCTATGAAACATTTTCTGTTGGATTTACTGGACAGAAATCAGTCATTGGACACTGACTGATACAACCCATTAATTGATTGAGTCCACAAAGATGTACTTGTGAACAGCTTTCTTGCTTGTTCTTATTCTTTTCCTTGACCAAGTGCATTTAGAAAGTGTAAATAGTTACAAATGTGGCAATATGATATTGTGAAATACTAGTCAGAGTTTCTACGGCACAGATCTTCTTTGGTCTTGTGACTGTCCCCGTTCAGGTCATTGGATATGAGTCCTCTGTTGCCTTAGGGGCAGAACTAGAGGGCAAAGGTAGTCCAGTGTTTTTGCTCTAAATTCAAGGGCCTTGATCTAGATATAAACAAGGAAAGACTTGCTACTCTCCTCATCCCCTAACACCATATAAAAATTCTTTAAGCTGGGTTAGGATATTGTACAAAGAAAATAAGATAAATAAGCATTGATCTTTTCTAAAATGAGAAGATAGTATCTCATCTATACTTATTTAGGATTAGCTCCAAATTCCTAGATAAGCTTAGGGTGTTCTGAGAATAGAAGAGACTTGTGCCAACTTCCCAACTGCAATTTGGAGGCTGACCCTTATGGCAGTCCCCATACCACTTTACTGTGGCTCAGCACAAAAGCCTTTGAGAGAAGCCATTGGGCAGAGAGGGCCTGAGAAGCTCTGGCAAGCCGCCTGCTGGCTAAGAGAACAACCGGATTTTTCTACATGTCCCCTCTTCCTTAGAGGGGTGCAAAAGTTAACTGAAAGAGAAAACCAGCTAAGGGGTTTTGCCAAGGGGGACAGTATGGTTGTGACCAAGGACCAGATGGGGACATGGGCATCTCAACATATGCCATCCTGGAAAGAGAACAATACCTGAGGACCAGACAGGGTCACACATTCAGGGGATGTCAATGCAAGGAAGAGAGAGCTGATAGCCAGTTCAGTCCCCAACCTAAAGATGCACTGTTCCATAAACATCTGGGAACTTAAATGCTATCTTGGAAAGTAGCAGAGGAAAGGAGATGTTTTTCAGAATTGATTGAATTTAAACTTGGGATGACAGGGAAATTCTGAATTGACCAAGAAAACCCAGAATTAGCTAGATTCATTCTCAATGAGTGAGCAGAGATTTTAAGACAGAAAATAAGTATACCTATAGAAAAATTAAGGAAGTTACTTTTGGACTCTGATTCATGGACTAAAAAATATTCTACTTGCTATAAAATGCTGCCAAATATTACAGAAACTCCAAAGTCCTTACACAAGCTACGCGGCCTGCCAATCTCCCTTTCTCCCTCTCCATCTTAATCCCTCCTTGCTGTTCAAGCAGGCCAATGCTCCCACTTCAAAGACATTGTACTCGCTGTTCCCTCTGCCTGGAATGTTCTTTTCCCCAGGGCGGTCCCATAGTTTCTCCCGTATTTCCGGTAGGTGTCGCCTCGGTCACCTCCTGGAGGAGGACCGTCCCATCCTCATCACTGTGCAGTCCCCTCACCCGGCTCTGTTCTTCTTCGTAGCATTCATCAGTACCTGTATCATATACTTGTCTATTTGGTTACATATGTGTATCAGCTCAAGCTTCCATAACAAAATACCAAAGAACAGGTGGCTTAAACAACAGAAATTTGTTTATTTTTCACAGTTCTGGAAGCTGGAAGTCCGAGATCAGGGTGCTAGCACAGTCAAGTTCTGGTGAAGACCTTCTTTCTGGCTGGCAGCCCGTCTTCCTGTTGTGTCCTCACATGGCACACAAA